AGATAGGTAGTCTTACCAGGACCATTTATCGCCTTGGGAGTCGAATGGCATTGTATGGTTTTCTTTTTTCTTTCTTCCTTCGTTGGGATATAGATGTAGATGTTGATGTGGAGGTAGAGGGGAAGGTAAAACTAGGGACAATAGATTGGATGGCTGGATTGAAGTGCAACAAAATCAATCCAGAGACTCCAGAAACACGGGAAAGGGCTGGAGACGACGATGTGAAAATACTTGCGCAAATGTGCTCAAATTCGTGGAGGATTGTATTCTAGGGATCGATGTGATCTGCAAGGATCTACATAGCCACTTTCCAATTTACCAGCTTATTGATGTACAGTGATTACAGCTAATTGCCATATCCAGCTAAAAATCGTGAGAATATCAATGTGCTTAATGATGGCGTTAATTAGGAAATCGGTGAAAAAGTATCTCTCCCATTTCCCACTCTTGAAAACATATCGAAGTCGAACCCTGAACTCCGTCGCTTTTAAGTCAGAAACAACACGCCGCCATCTTTATCTTAACTCCAAATCATAGGTATCATGGCCGAGTACAAGCACCAGCATGCACAGAGCAGAGCAGAGCAGAGCAGAGCAGAGCAGAGCAGAGCAGAGCAGTCTTATCGAAAAGCAAAAGGAAAGCAAGAAAAATGATCTCAAAGTTGCAGGTCCTCCACGCTGCCTGATCGCTTGGCTGTGGGGATGGCGCTGTCAGGCAAGGAGAGGACTGAGATTGTCCGTTGGTTCTTGGGGCGGGAGATGTCTTCGGTCTTGGTGCAGATCCAGGTGGATGCGTACATGTTCACGCTGAGATTGATAAGCTTCTGTGATAGGTTGACAGGGTGAGTTGGAACTTACCGGTCAATACATGTACCTGGGAAGCGGGCTCCCACGCGACGGGCAGAGAAGCCGTTCTCCTCGAAGTGCTTGATGTACCAGGGGTCGATACTTGCTGAGCGGAGAAGGATGCGGCCGCCCTTCTTCAATGCATGGTTGAATGTACGGGCTTGGGCTGGGGCTGCGTCTCCGTCTGGGTCGAACCAGTCCATTGAGTCCATGACCTATTCGAGTGTTAGATGAGGAGCTTTGTTAGATGTTCTGATTCGACTTACCACAGCGATGGTCAGAGTTCCTGGAGTAATGCGGTTGATCACCTCGTTGATCTCATCAGTGTGGATACGAAGACCGTCGAATGCACCAGGCGTAGAAAGCTTGACATGTGCCTGAGGAGACAGATAGGTAGGGTGGCATCTATAATAATTAGTAAGAAGCCACAAAGTACAGTTGAAAGAACATACCTCCGAGAGAATTTGCCTTGAACACAGAGGAAGTAAAAGTAATTGTCGTTGCTGATGAGAGTATCATTGACGACAGGGTCAAGCGTGTTGACAACATACTCCCAGATCGATTGGCCACTGACATCCTTGCCGACCTTCATATCCTCAGTCAAGCCATTGCGACGGAAGAAATCGTCAACGATCATGTTCCGCTGATTGCGAGGCACCCCAGCTGCCTTCCAGGCGAACCATTCAGTGCTGACAATAGCCCAGTGTAGCGGTCGGCTCATTAGAACACGGCGAATGCGAGGCCAGATTTCGCGTTGCTCTGCCAGGGTTTGAGCTTCACACATCTTGCGAACTTCACCCTGTAGTCCGAAAATGTTGAAGAGCCAGCGTACCATGCGAATAGCGTGGCGGGAACCTCCAGTCTCATACAGACCATGACCGGAAGTGGAAGTGAAGGTGTGGGTATGCTCGAGCCAGTACTGGAAAGCCTGGCTGGAGAGATGGGGACTGAGCTTAGAAATGAGGAGCTCGCGGAATTGCGGGTGCTTGCCCTCGCCAAAGATCTTCCACATGTCTCGGTGACCGAGTGCTGTGTAGCTGGCAACCTTCAGTTCAAGGAGATGGTTCTGGTTGGGGTTCAAGTCCACTGCGTGCACCCGACGGGGACCCTTCTGTAGGTAATCGAGGATGTTGTCACCAGCACTTGTGATAGCCAGAATGACATCGTCTTTGCCAATGTTCAGAAGGCGGTGGTCAACTCGTGGGTCCTCCCATGTGAATGCGTAGATGTACTCGTTTTGGAACTGAGTGTGTTTGGGAAGCATGTCGTTGTAGTGGATACGGTAATGCTGGTTCTGGTAGAATGAAGATGGAAGCGGCAGGTTTGCACTCAAGTTAATGACTGCAGACTCATAAGCCTTCGACCGGATCTCCTGCGAACTGCTCACAACTGCCTGGTCCATTTCTTGCTTGTGGTTGGCGGGAAGCAGATAGGGAGACTCGGTGAAAGAGGCATCCAGCTTCTCGATTGATTGGCTCGATGGGGTCGCCTGAATTTCCTTCGGGCAGCCAACGAAGATGTAGTATGGGATGCCACCAAGGAGGTAGTTCCGTTCGCTAGCGGAGATGACGGTTCCGAACTTGTATTCCAGGTAGTCACGACGAGCGGCCTCGAGGCTGACGCGGTCGAAGTCGAACCAGGCTCTCCAGAAAACACGCCCGAGCCAGTTGACATGACGGTTGAAGGCACCACCGGTGTAGTTGCGGCAGGAAACATCCACGATGCTTTGAACTGTATCGGGGTCAGCAACCGGCTTATGATAGTTTGTGAACAGTTGCTTACCATAAAAGTCACACACACCCAGAATACCAGTCGGCTTCAGGCGGGAAGTTAATGAGTCGACAACGCTGTAGTAATCTGAAAGAGTCAATGTCTTGACTTTGCCCGCATTCCCACTGGCACTTACCAGGAATCATGGATAGACTGTAGCTCATAGTAACCAGGTCGACACCATCATTTGCATTTGTAGACCGCGGATCGACGACCCTCTCCGGAAGACGGAACGACCGAGCATCCTGGCATAGAACAGTGACATTCTTCCACCCAAGACGCTCGAACCGCTGGCGGGCAACTTCACAGAGGGACGGGGAGAGATCAACCAGGTAAACTTGCTCGAAAAACTTGTCCACGGGAAGGAAAGTTGCCATGGCTTCAATGTTGTATCTGCTGCGAGTCAGCTTCCGGTCTCGACAATGGTGATCGATCTGCCTACCCAGTGCCACCACCAACCTAGAACGCGTCAGCCATGAATACCACTCGAGTCAATTCAATTCAACACTCACATCCACCCAGACAGCCTTCCCAGCCTTGACATCCTTACTGCCAACCTTGTAGTTCAACTGCGCAGCAACAAGACCGAGCATGTCCTCACGACCACAGAGAAGACGACGACGGGTAGCATCGTACACGGCAGCCTGCACCCAGTCAGTCACCAATCACCAATCACCAGTTATCAGTCACAGTCACCAGCCAACACCAAACGCACCTGTGTCTTGTAAAAGCTCTCCAAAGCATCCTGCTGATCCCCAGCCTTTTTGTCATGGGGTTTAATGAAATTGGCCCAGATAAACTTGAGGTACGGCCCAGTCCAGGTATTAGCGACCTTGACCTGCTGCGAAGAAACAAAGAGAACGAGGGCCACGAGGGCAAAGACCGAAAAGGCCGCTGTGGCAATGTAAACATGCATCCAATCCATTTTGCAAGCAATCTGCAATCTGCAAGGAGCGTTACGAAGTCAAGAGAAAGAGAGAAGAAGACATGGATTCATATACAAGAACCCGAGCACGAGATCGGAGCGCGTGTGCCGCATCATGGGGGAGGGCGAGAACTGTGTCCTCCTATCACGGCGACACATGGGTGGGGAGGGAGTGAGAGAGAGCTGGCTGAGGGGGGAGGGGCAAGGGGCAGGTACAAAGGACTTAGATTGGAGGTGCAGTGGCGGGCACTGTGTAAGTAGAGGGTACCTGTACATGATCGACGGATTCAGAGTAGTCCCATGTAGACTACTCCGGGCTCATAGTATGTAGTGTTAGCTAGTATGTAGTATGTAGTATAGCCAACTTTAAGCGCATTTGGGTTCCTGCAGTAGCCCCAGATCAGCCACTCACAGACCCGCCCGTTACCATGTGCTGCTTGGCACTGCCCCGTCGGGCCCGTGGGGGCCATGGGAAGCCCCGATAGGCTGTGCTGGGGGTCAACTTCCAGGGTCTACAGGCGCCAATCATGTCCCCGGTTGCCTGCACATTGGAGGTTCCCCAGATTTGATGGGATCTTGTAACTATAAGCCCGGGCTAATTGGGGATCTTTGATCTATCCCATTTTTGGTATATTCCTTATGGGGTTTTCTCGGGATGCCTTATCTTTTGGGGTTTTGTTCATTTATAACTTAATCTTAGAAGATACATAGTTTGTTTACTAGGAAAGGAAGGTTTGACTCATCTATAAAGATCCCTCTATGGGAGAAGCCCCCATTTCCCATATGTAGATGTTCAACCACTAGCCAAAGCCGTTATACTGCACAGCTACAGCTATCTACCCCTCAATGAGCCCCGCCATACCATATAAGATCAACAGTATCGGAGACTCTCGGTTTGAATAGGGTCCACCTTATATATTGCTGATCAATGATCAACGGTGCACGGCACCCACTCAGTGTTGTATGTACGCGCATGCAGCTCAGACAATATTGCTCAGCAGTCGTTATCTCAAGACCTAGCTTGACTCCAAACTTGAGTAGTCGATTTATCCAGGGCATTCCGGGAAAGCCCGAAAGGAAGTTATATCTGAAGTAGGCTGTGGCATTGCTTATCTCTATAAGGACTGTTTCGTCCATGTGTTTGGGACTCGGGGTCGGAGGTATGGATTGGTTACACGGAAGGCAAAATGAACATGTGGGAAGAAAGCAAGAAAAGCAGGTGGAAGAAGGCACCTGAGTTATTAAGTCTACCGGGAACTACTTCCTACATATGTATAGCCGATCAGTCCAAGCTGTAATGAAGCTTTGGCCAATGCCAATGTACGATGAAAAGCTTGGAACTTGTTCAATTGAACGCCTTTTTCCTCATTGCTCAGACGCCAGACCCAAGAAATCTAGATACTTCGAGAATCAATGTTCAAGAAAAGATCCCATTATACATAATCCAAAGCCGCTCAGCCCTACTCGTCATCATCACTCATGCGAGTATCCTCAGCGGGCTTATCGGCATCCTCGTTCTCGATTGGCTGCTCCTCTTCCACGACCGTAGGTTCAGGCGGCATGTTGCTCGCGAACTTGGGATCGACCTGCAGGCGGTGCGTGGCACGCTTGTAGACTTCTTGCTCGTCGGGATCGCGGACCGTGACGTGCATCTGGTCGACTTGCTCCTCTGGCTCTTCCTGCTGGGTAGATGTAGGTGCCAGACCGGCCTGGGCGATGGTACGGGCACGCTCGGGCTTGAGACGGGCCTTGCCGATGATGGGGTAGTAGTAGGCGGCCAGTTGTCTGGTATCGCCGTCTTTCGGCTTGAAAAGGGTAATTGCGATGTCTTTTTGTTCGTTGCTGAAGGTCTGGGCGCTTGTTGCGTAGGTGCGGGCACGATCATAGCGGTGGTATTTGTTGCCGTCGGACTCGTGGGTGTAAAGTTCTGGGTCGTTTCTGTCTGGATGTGTCAGGCTCATGCTCGTGTGAATTTTCTTCAAGGCTTCGGTCTTCTCAGGTAGAAATAGGCGGTAGTCGAAGGGCACTGGGCCCGGGTGAGGGTAGAGATTAGGGTTCGCGTCGTGAAGAGCCATCTTGGACTCATGCTCGTGAACAATACGTTGCTCGGGTGCGGCCGGGCTCAGAAGACCAACTTCCATGCGCTTGTCCCGCTTGCCTGCGACGGCTGCCACAGGTGCCTTGTCAAACTTGAATTGAAGGAAACCGCCAGGTTCGGGGAATCCTTCCAGGTCAGGCAAGACAGGAAAGAAGCCGACTGGCTTCAGCTTGGAGTTTTCAGGGTGGACTGGGTTCGCCCAGGCATCCACTTCCGCCTTTGTGGGGGGAAGGCCTCGGACGCGGCTCTCGGTATCCTCTCCAGTGTGCTTGCTCTGCGGGTAAGCAATATCGAATCCCTTTGTGATGAACTTCTTGACGTGCTTAGGATCATCAATTGAAGGCTTTCCTTTCTTATTTGGCCGTGATTGCGTTTTGGCAGGTACAGCGGCTCCAGCCCCAGCGGTGCGGTCGACCGAGATATGCTGTGTGCGGCGAAGGAAGCTGACATTGGTATTCTTCTGGACGGGGTTTCGGAGTTGATCAATGCTCATGAGGAGTGGGAGATCAGCGGGATCAATAGGCTGAGGGTTTTCGGGGGCCATGATAGCTATGGCAGACATGTTAGTCCCAGTTACGCGATGTAATGAACATTCGGTCTTCACGTACCACTCTCATCGCCTAAGTGTAATCCCGGAATACCGACCAGGTCAATGGGCATTCCACCTTCAGCATCGACATCGATATTTGGCTCCTCGCGACGCGCCAGGTTTGATGCAAAGCCGGGAGTGAGGAAGCGGCTCAAGCCCTCGTGCGGGATGTCGAGAAACTTGGGGGGCATGTCCGGAGGAGGTAGGTCATTGCGGTAGCGCAGCGACGCAATGTAATCCTGGTGAAAGCTCCCAGAGGACTGTCCATCTTTAGACTTGGACATCTTGTGGTGCGGTTTTCTAGAAAAGGGCTGTCGGTTGCATTGCAGATCAGCAACTCTGTATCAGGCTGGTGGGTGGAAAGGTAGGCTCACACAGATTGACTGGACAATCACCGGTTCAGTCGTAAGGGATGTAAGTTGTAGCACAAAGCTGAACTATCAATCCAATATAAGCCCGATTCGGATTGATCTCAAGGGCAGTCGTCGCAAACCTACTGTGTCGTGACGGGGACTGTAACAAGGGTTGATAGGAGTCAGAAGTCGAGATTTGACAGCTAAAAGTCCTTTATGTCAAACTCTACGCGAGAAGAGCTTTTATCAGACTGCGACAGCTGGAGGCGGAGAGGCGGATTGAATTGATCGAAGCTGGACAATGCAGAGCGAACTCCAACCAGAGATCACCATTCTGCCGTGTTTCACCGCTTATATACGAGAAGAGCGAACTTCGTGCTGTGCTATGCTGTGCTATGCTGTGCTATGCTGTGCTAATTAGATTATGTTTGCCTGTCGTTGGTCATCCTTTATTCAAATACTCCGTTGCATTAGAAAATATTGATATCCTTTTTGATAATAACCAAAATGTAAAACTCCCATCGCCACCGCCAGCTTCTCATAATAGCATCACAAAGCCAAAGTACACAATCAATAAGCCCACATACACTTGTAAGCCATCAACCGCGGCCCAAGTCGATCATACTCCAATCGTCCAATCCAGCTGTCATTTGTGGCGTCCAATTTGCCAAAAATGCTGGCACCCTTCCAAACAACAACCTGGGGGTCCAAGTCTCGAGGCGGTGTTCCAATCATGATCTCCTTGGCAAAGCCAGGACGAAGAGCCTGCAGGCGCTCTTCCAGGAACAAATGGAATCCAGCCGTCAGACTGCCGCCGCCGACTACCATGATACCACCAATGAAATCGCGCATTTTCTTCTCGTCGGAACGAGCGGCGTGTGCGATGGAAGTCAGAATGGCGTTGTCCAAGGCGAAGATTGGTATGATATCATCACGTTCTTCCACGGTTGGGGGACGAGAAGTCTGGGATGAAGCTGCTACTGCGGGTGTGCTTGTACCGCCTGCCTGGGGGGTCCCCGTGTTCTCTGGAACAGGGGACCCGGCAACAGAAGACCGGGGAGTCCCCTCAAGCTCCTGGAGTTTGCTGATAGCAGTGGGATGCTGTGGGCGGCTGGGCGTAGCTTGAACATCGGCTACTGAGGGAGATTCACCATTAATCTTAGCCAAAGGGGGAGCAATGGCAGTCAAAATTTCTGACTGCGCGGCAGAAGTAGGATCGTTGGGCTGTCCGTCGTAGATATCAGCGGATCTGCCAATCAACGTCCGTCGACCGTCAATTTTATTCTCGTTATCGAAGATGCTAGGCTCAAAGACACCCATTGGCGCAAGGTGAACTTCGTCAAAGGCCTTAAATGAGTACTTCCGCGTATCTTGGCCCGCCACACGAAGATGGAAGTCAAAGACCTGAGGAGAGACGCTTGCTTCGTTCATGGTGCAGATGTTCTTCTTCAGTTCTTCCGCCAGGAGAAAGTCATGTCTGCGCCGTAGATTGATGTCGGCATAGGGGAAGTGATCGTGCAGCATCATCTTGATAAAGGCTTCGGTCATGTCTTGGCCACCAAACTTCAAGTTTACACGCGAGTTCTCAACGCACATGCCTTCTTCCACGCAGCAGATAGAGGTTTTTTGCGCTCCGATATCGACCACACAGGCTGAGGTGAAGCCGGCACCAAAGGTGGCCGCCAGACTTTCTTGAATGAAACACACCCGAGAGAATGCAAATTCGCGCATCAACATTTCCAGAACTTGGGTGACGTAGGCCTTGTCGTAAAGGTCTGGGATGACGAATACACAAGAGTATTGTGTCCAGTCCTTTTTACTGGTCAGGCCCAATTGGTTCTGGATAGCGTCTTCCAGGATCAGTGAGATATCCAGGAACAGCATCCTCTTGCTTTCGTAGTCTTTCTCATTACACCAGCCATTTTGGATTGGCCAATAGAGCTTGTATCGAGGTTTTGATGCATCGGGTATTCTCAGCGCCGGCTGCCCAACAACATACTCTGGTGGGGGATTTGAGAGCTCGGTCCATTCGACACGCATCGGGTCGTTGTGTTCAGAGATGATCTCCGGTACTGTCCTGCGGTTGTAGTTCACCACCATCTCCTTGGAGTTAGGAAGCATCCGTCGCTTGTTCTGTCGCATATGCACCTTCAACTCTGCAGACATCCGGTTGAAATGAGAGGACCACTAAAGAAAATATTGTTAGCTTTAATTCAAGAAAATTGTACTGAACATACCTCAGAACCAAAAGCCTTCTCAGGCTCTAGCTCAGAATCATCCTCGGCCTTGAACCTCTTCGGCTTGGGTTCTGCGTAGTCTTCAGACTCGCTGGTGGCTGCTTTTCGCGCAATAACCATGGGTACGGTTTTTGGTAGCGCATCACTCGCAAGGCCAATACGGAGATTCTGGCTGCCGATGTGAATGACAATGACCTTGGAGCCAGCCATCTCAGCTGGAGTCTCTTCCGCATCCTCCATGTTGGTATCGCCATCTGCCTCGCCCTCGCCTTCCGCATTCTCGGGCTTGGCCATTGCCATGGCCCGGTCGTGGTCCTTTGCCTTCTTGGTCATTCTCGTTCTTGCCTCCTCATTTTGCAGGCGGAACGCCAGGTTCTGGTCGTCGCGCTTCAGGTAGTCACTACAAATCGTGCGGTCAGCATTGAAGTCCGTAACTCGAGCGATAGGGGTGGTCTCAGATTATTAGTCTCGACTGTACACGTACGTGTAATAGTTCTTCTGGTTGATTGCTGGGATCTGGGGCCAGCTGGATAGTTCCATGTTGTTGTCGGTGCGCTCCAGGCCTGTATAGTCCAGGTATTAGTCTTTCTATCAGACCAAGGTGTAATCATCACTTGTTTGATGAACCTACCCTCATCCCGAAGGGCCTTACCCGATTTCTTTCCGACCATGGCGTAACTCCGGGGTCAACTGGGACGTGCGGCGAATCTAGGGAGTGCGCCGGGACTGTGATCGCGCCGAATTGCAAGTGTCTAAAAAGGGTGAAGCTGGAGTGGATGTAAAAGTGATCAATTAACCCGACAGACCTGAGAGGAGAAAGGACAATCGTCAGGTTTTCGAACGAGCTCAATCCCGCATCGTGATCTCCCCGATTGACCGCCCACCGCACAGGCCGGCAACCCGTCTCATCTCTTTCATCTGAACTTCTCTACAACTTAACCATAGTTTACTCATTTTCTCTATTGGCTTGCGCAGACCTCATCTTCCGTTGCTTCAGCCCCCCTCACTCGACCGAACACGCGCGCATACATCATGGGTGGCTCACTATCGCGCATGTGGTCCCTGCTCTGGTCCAAGAAGGAGATCCGCATTTTGATTCTAGGACTTGTATGTGGTGTCATATTTCCTAAACAGGATAATGAAGGGGAAATGGAAGCTGATCGACTCTATTATCATCTAGGATAACGCCGGAAAGACCACTCTGCTCTACAGACTCAAGGTGAGCTACTAAAACCCCGCCCAGTTGGGAAACTGGAGGAATTGGCGCGATCGATACAACGGACTAACAATGCGCGCTCGCAGATTGGCGAAGTTGTCACTACGATACCTACGATCGGTTTCAACGTCGAGTCGGTCACATATAAGAACCTGAATCTCAATGTCTGGGTAGGTGGTGTATAGCTACACGATCCCCAGTTCATTACTGATACTCCTGCGTCATAGGATCTCGGTGGCCAAACTTCCATTCGCCCATACTGGCGATGCTACTACGCCAACACAGCGGCCGTAGTGTTCGTCATCGACTCCACAGATATCGAGCGGTTAGGGACCGCGGCAGACGAACTAGCAGCCATGCTGAATGAAGAGGAACTTCACGATGCAGCGCTACTGGTCTTTGCCAACAAACAGGATCAGCCTGGTGCCAAGGGTGCAGGCGAGATTTCAGAGGCTTTGAAGCTGGGAGAATTGCGGGACCGGAACTGGAGCATTGTCGCGTGCTCTGCTATTGACGGCAAGGGTATTAATGAGGGAATGGATTGGCTGGTGGTATGTTTCTTTCCAATCCTATCTCTCCCGCCACAAGCTAACGGTATTACAGCAAACAATCCAATCGGAGAACGCTTAAGGGTTCTGGTGTTTGTGTCCGGTTTTAGATTTTCATCGTTGATATACCTTATGTGTCCAAGTTTCTCATATGGGTTCGGAGCCTTCCGCTGCATTCGGGGTGCTGTGCCTCTTCTTCCCTTCGGCTATGCCTCGGCAGAGTCCTTGTCTTATATTGCTTCATGATTTCCCCGGTGTCAGAGTCTCGCGGCTTACAGATAATTGTTTAATTGAATGTTGAGGCTGAACCAGGTAAAGAAAAGCATTCAGTCTATTATATTGTACAAGATATCCGGAGCGGTGCGAAGCAGAGCTCTTCGTCCTGGGCTTATAGAAACAATGATAGCTATATAGTTCACTATCCAATTCACGTCCTGAAGTCAGTCGGAGAGGGTAAGATTCTCTCAGGAAACTGTATGTGGGAAATGTTAGTGTATAACTTTTAGGTATCAGAGGTTCTTCCTAGCTATAAGGAGGCTAACGTACTTTACCCCAACTGGCTTATCTTGCCCAGGTGCCCTCACCCCGCACCTGCGATACAACACATAAAACACCAGAGTCTTTCCTACTTGACTCAATCCTTGCAATTTTGATATATATCAATACATCCAGGTAGACAACATGGCGACCCCTCAAACCCAAACAGCAGCAGTCATCGCACCCACTGCTCCTGTCTCCGCAAAGGTGGAGATCCGAAGCAATTGCCCCGTTCCAACTCCAGTAAATGGTGAAATCCTCGTGAAACTCGAGTTCTCCGGGGTATGCCATTCAGATTTGCACAGCATCCGTGGCGACACACCCATGTTGACTGATGTGGCCGGCCATGAAGGTGTTGGGAAGGTCATTGGCGGTAAGATTAGGGTTGAAGGGTCTTTCAATGGTTGGAAGCAGATACTAATTACTATTCTTGCGGTTTTTAGTCGGTCCAGAGGTTGACGAGAAACAATGGATTGGAACACGGGTGGGAATCAGGTATGTCTCATCTTAAGTCAGGGCTTAGGGTTGATTATACGAACCTTTCACGAACCCTTTGTTATTCAATTAGGTGGCTCTATAGCTCTTGCCGGCAGTGCGAGATTTGCGAGATAAATCATACCGCTTGTCCCTATCAAAAGAATGCTGGTGCTGTAAGTGCAGATATCTTCAGTTTCAACCTATATGTCCTAAATATGGTGTTTTGCTGACTTCGTCAATTAATACAGAATGTACCTGGCACTTTCCAGCGTAGTTCCTCTCTTTCATGGAGTTGTTACATATCAGGCTTCTAACCAGATACTTAGAATACATCGTCAGTCCAGCGTGCCATGTGACAAAGATTCCGGAGCAGCTATCCCCAGACACTGCAGCGCCCCTTCTATGTGGTATGTCTTCTCCGCTTGTTACTCTATAATATGAATACTGAAATACCTTAGCTGGAATCGCTATGTACTCTTCCATTATGAAGACCAAAACTCGCCCGGGGAACTATTTAGCCATCCTCGGTGCCGGGGGTGGCCTAGGACATATGTATGACTCCAAATCTTTTCCAGATACAGAATACCTTGGTTATTAACGGTACACTTGCATAGGGGAATCCAAATCGCCGCTAAAAAAGGCCTCAAAGTCATTGCAATTGATAGGTATACAATATCCCAGCTTAGCAGGGATCTGGTACAAGCATACTAACCATACTATTTCAACAACCCAGCGGAGAAAAGAAGAAGCGTCTTTGCGTATCATTGGGTGCCACAGAATTCCTAGACTTCCGAGAAGTCGACATCGTGCAGGCAGTCAAGACCATCACTGGCTTCGGTGTTCACGCCGTTATCTGCACAGCTAATGGCGAGCGAGCATATGAGCAGAGTATGCAAATGCTACGTCCCCTGGGAACGCTGGTCTGCGTTGGTATCCCTAATCAACCATTCAAATTGCCTGCTACTCCGTTTGATATGATTGTCAAGGGTATGTATTCAATGCCTGGGTCTCTTGTGTGAAATTGGGGAATATAGTTGTCTGACTGGCTGTATAGGGCTCACCATTGTGGGCAACTCAGCGGGTACGGCAGAGGAAATGGATGAGCTTTTGGCAATGGCAGTTGCTGGTGATGTCAAGGCGCATATTGATGTCTTTGGTTTGGATGAGATCAATGATGTGTTGGATCGTCTAGAGCGCTCGGAGATTGATGGTAGGGTTGTTCTGAGGATTCCTGAATAGTTTATATTGCTAGACTGGATGGCTTGTATTGACCTTCAAACCCATACATCATTTTTTATGAACTGCTCTTTCAAGGTTTATGAAGTGTATTCGTTGAAACTACTAGGTAGGCTAGTAAATTTTTTATTTCACATGATTACGCTGTACTATAGGCTCGATTGATCTATTGCTTCAATTCAATCGGCGAGACTGAAAGAATTGAAGAAATCGAGTAATTGAGCGTATAGCAAAGCAATAAATTGGGGCTTTTGGCACGGCAGTAATCATTTAAGCCTATGCTTTACCTGCATGGCTACCTATATTACAGCTTATTTATTACAAATCCCAAAGGCCTCGGAATCATGATCTGGACGGCAAATCGTGATCCCGTTTTTACTTGACGTGATTGACTCGGTGTGAAGACTATGCAAAGCTGAATCAGGGTAATTTGTAAGGAACTTGACCAGTGACACTACCATATGCCAAGGTCTAATAGTAGTGATTATTCAATGCAGCCAGGCCTCTTCTCCTGCAGTGATTTTGCTTTTATAGAGCTAGACCTATGAACGGTCAAGGTCGCTGCAACATCATCCCCTCCTTTCGCAACAAACTATAGAACACGATACTGTATAAGAATTGTGTAACTCGAGTCATTCTCTAAATATAAGAGAACAGTGCAAGTATTTACACGGCATCCAAATCATCCAAATCGGGCCGACTCAGATCTCGGGCCAGTGTCGGTAGTTCATCCGATGCGTAAATGTATAGCCGATCATTCTGCTTATCAGCCCAACACCCCCTTGCAGATCACCCTCCTGAGAGCCACGAATATGTATCTCTGCCCGACACAATTCGTAAATGCCTTCCTGAGAAAGCAACTGTCTTTCGATAAAGGTGAGCACCAGCTTTATGCTCCGTAGTGGCCCAAAGATCCTTCTGTGGACCCAACAACACGTCTGTACTTAGTCCACCTTGTGGGTCACGACCATCTGAGACAGATTTCGCATTTAAGAAAATGTTTCCTCTGTGATTAGCTACAGTCACCCGGCCCAAGTCTTGGACATACGGATCAACCTTGCGTCATAAATCTATGACCCGATTTGTCTCCCGTCGAAGACAGTCTCGTTGCGCATCATGGCTGAGAGCCATCCCCCTAAGTTTGGAGCTCCTCATGGGCGTATACCATACTGGCGGCTGTTGACCGACCAAGGGGTAATCACTCAAGAGATTCTCGAATACGAATATATCGGCACTGGCACCGACCTAGACCCTTATGCAGTATCATGGATCCCAAACGACCCTCGAAACCCACTGCTTTTCGGCACGGCAAAGAAGGTGACTATCACTTTAGCTGTCGCATTCTCCACATTGATTGTGTCCTTGACGTCCTCAGCCTATAGTGGCAGCATGCGCCAAATCGAGAACCATTTCCAGGTTAGCACTGAAGTAGCCACCATCGGCCTCTCATTGTTTGTATTGGGATTCGCTATCGGGCCCTTGTTCTGGGCTCCGGTGGGCGAGACCCTTGGGCGACAAATACCCTTCTTCATCAGTACCGGCAGCATGGCCATCTTTACAGCAGGCTGCGCCGGGGCCAAGAACATCGAAACCCTTCTTATCCTCCGTTTCCTAGCTGGCGCCTTTGGTTCCTCCCCATTTACCAATGGCGGCGGTACCATCTCTGATATGTTCACGGCCCGACAGCGCGCATTGGCTATCAGTCTCTATGCCGCCGCCCCCTTCCTAGGACCTTGCTTAGGTCCTATCATTGGAGGCTTCCTAAGCATGAACGCCGGGTGGCGATGGGTAGAAGGCTTCCTTGCAGCGACGGCTGGCTTGGTATGGCTGATCATTACCGTGGCAGTGCCGGAAACCTATGCGCCCGTCCTTCTACGTCGACGTGCTGAGACCTTATCGCGCGTTACGGGCAAAGTATACCGCAGCAAGGCCGATCTGAGCAAAGGAAAACTGTCGTTACCCAAACTTCTGTCAAACGCCATGTCGCGGCCGTTATTATTCCTCTTTCGCGAGCCGGTTGTGCAACTCTTCTCGATCTACAGTGCCATCGTCTATGGCACCCTCTATATGCTGTTTTCCGCCTTTCCAATTGTCTACGAAGAAGGAAGAGGTTGGAACCAAGGTGTGGGCGGACTAGCCTTCCTCGGTGTTATGATCGGGATCATATTAGGCATTTTAACGACAATTCCGGGTAATAAACTGTACCAGCGCGTACAAGATGCCAACGGAGGATATGCGCCTCCAGAAGCCCGTCTACCAGGCATGATGCTCGCCGCAATTGTCACGCCTGCCGGGCTCTTTTGGTTTGCGTGGACTAACTCGCCGTCGATCCACTGGAGCGTGAGTATCATTGCCGGTGCGCCATTTGGATTTGGCGTGGTCTTGATCTATTTGGGGGTCATGAATTATCTCATTGACTCCTACACCATCTACGCTGCCTCGGTGATGGCCGCTAACGCCATCCTACGTTCTATTTTCGGTGCCGTCTTTCCCCTTTTCACCAATTACATGTACCAAAATCTTGGTATTCATTGGGCGTCTTGTATTCCTGCTTTTCTTGCCGTCTTGTGCATGCCGGCTCCTTTTCTGTTTTACAAGTACGGACCGGCGATCCGTGCTCGTTGCAAATACTCTGCTAAGTCTCAGTTATATATGGAAAAGCTGCATGCAAGTGCAGCTTCTTAATGTTAACTAGTTGAGCAGGCATTTATAATAATCGCGCAGGAAAAGGTGCTGTGTATGAAAAAGATCAATTGAGTCATATTTCATGTGATACGCAAGGTGAAGATAGTGAATATCTGTCCCTGGCCAAGTTCTTTACAAAATATTGCAGCTTTATATGTCAATAACTAATGGCTTATCAATTCACGTAAAAACAGTTGGAATCATGTCCAGTCAGTATCAAATTTGGTTGCTTTAAAGCACTCTAAACCACTCAATTGCTTCAATTCTTCATCTCTGGTCCAGCACGGTCTATTACATCTTATGCCGAGCCTCGTAACTATATCGAGATCCCGAACACAGCACGCAGAATGGCATTGTTTATGGGGTGATTGAAAGACTAAGATGTAATACACTATGTCGTGCCAAAGGCCAAGAAGCGAAGGGATTGAAGAAATTAAATGATTCAGCCTATTTTGAAGCAACGAAATTTGACCTCTCTGCTCAGGGGTTGAACATTAAAACTTATCATTAAAACCTAAAGTTTACCTACCTACCTATATTACAGTCTATTTATTAAAAAACAAAAAGCCGCGGACCCAACCTGGAATCACAAAAAAAGTTTAATAAAGGAATGAAGAAACGGCTCAGTGGAAATGAAATGAAGATGCAAAAAAAAACCTGAAATGCAAAAAGAACTCTGGAACCATGAGCAACTAGCTAGGCTTGCCTAGCTTTCCCTTTTTGCTGCCATCGAAGCACCTCATCTCCATTCAGCCCACACTAAGGTTGATTGGACCTTGGTTTTTATTGCGTAAATCGCTATAGAAGTTGATCTTTTGGTTTGGCGATGTGGAGAGCTAGCTATAGAGCCCAGTCTTGATGGACTGATGTAGATACACAGTTGCTGAATATTGATAGGGCTTATTGACCGTATGAGGGACATCCCATCAATACAGGTAGCATTGATTTGGAACACACTAAGTATAATCATAGACGCAACTTCTAACAAGTATATATGTAATAACATACTGTCTCTAGCCTCATGCGCTCTTATGATAAAACCATCAAACCAAGGCCGGTACAACCCTTGAACCGAAAATACTTCTCCTTGTAAGTCGGCTCTCTCATAGCAAGGCCAGTTCCCACTGTACATGGAACTAAACGACCTTCCGATATAAATCAAGTACCCCTCGATTTCCCCAGTCCACCAAACCATCCACGCCCAGAAATTCTTTCTGCAACAACCACAGCCAGACAACTCACAATCAACCCCTCAAGCAACCCATCCGAATCGACATCCAACTCTGCAATCACGCCCAAAGAACCCAAAATCCGTCTATCCGTCCGATTCTGCCAGACAGCAAGAATATCGTCCGGCCGATCAGCAGCGAAGAACTTCAAATTCCCATTCCCATCACTAGCTTTCGCCTCATTATCCCGCGCATCAAACAAGGACAAAGCAGCCTTAGACCCTTTCCAATAAAAAGTCTTAACAACCCCACCATTAATAATCTTAACACGGTACGTCCTCCCAATCCCCTTCCGAACAATATCAACCGAACAATACTTCATCAGATCCGAAGAAACAGGCACAGACCCGGGTAAATCATTCCGAAGAGTCGTAGATTCGATTTGGTGAAATAGATCCACAGTAGCATGGAGACCCACCAGACCTTCAATACCATGGTAGCGGATATGCGCGCGGTGGTTTTGCTGTTCTGGAGATGGATCTTTTCGGCTGCGGACTGCTGTGCCACCGGCATAGAGATCGAATGGGGCTGGTAGGTACAGGCGTTGCTTATACCATGGGATGCGGAGGGAGTGATATACTGGGCTTGGGGATTGGGCGTGGCCTCCAGATGGGTGGACTTGAAGACAGAAGCTAAATGCGTTTGTGCCCAGTGCTACCTGTGTGATATGGTTAGTTTTGATAACAGTAGATTCAAGGCTTATGTGGGGAAGGAAATATTTTGAGTGGATATAGAACACTAACGTACATCTTTGAAGACGTTGAAAGAGCGGTAGGGTTCCTTCCCGTGAGTTGTTTGATGTTCCTCTTGTGGGATCTCATTGACGAATTGTTGAGACGATACATGATTGTTTGTTGAAGTGTTATCTTCATCGAAACATACATGATCAAATCCTACGGCAGTGGATAGGGGTTGATTAGACATCCTTTTTGTTGCAGGGATGAGTCCAGGAGACGATCAGATGCTCGAAAGGGGGTTGATTGAAATTTCGCTGGCTATTGATCCAAAGCTGTCGATTTAGCGAGGAATTTGTTCAAGAAACAAGCCAGGAGATTAACCGGGTTCGATATTTTGAAAAAGAAACAGTCAAGTTATATCTCGCAAGACGAGAAACGGGAGTTAGTCATGGCGATCTTAGCAGTTGCCCGGTACGAGGACGTGGTCCAATAGAA